AAATTGTCTTCTCCTGCTGTTTGGCCTCAGCTTCTCTATTTTATTACTTATTCATTACTTTCTTTACTGTTTGACCCTGATGTCATATTTTATATGTGAAAACATTCATGTTCCCTCTTAAAGTGCTGCTGTTGGGTACAGCTGGGTTAAGGGGCCTGTGAAATCAGAGTATAAATTCCTCAGCATTTGAACCTTTGGAAAGTAAAATACTGTGACAAAGTACAGTGTCGCTGCAGCCCGTTACCAGGGCTGTTAGGTTGTGGTGAGAGCAGTGTACCCCAAAATGTCAGGCAGCGGGGCTGTTTGCCGCGAGGTAATTAGGAGCAATTAGCCGGGCTCCCTGCTGGGCACGTCGCTATTGCTTTTCTCCTCTTTGCCCTTCCCCCTGCTGCCACTGCAGGGCAACGAGTTGTGGCAGTGATGGTTCCCTGGGAGAGTGTGTGAGAGTGTGTGTGTGTGTGTGTGTGTGTGTGTCCGTGCGGGCGCCCCGGCCCCCTCCCCGCCCCGCCGCATTGTGGAGGGAGGGACCGCGGCCCGCAGCCGCCTCCGCCGCCGTGCGGGGCCGGGCGCTGTCCGTGGTGCTGAGCCCGGCGGGGACGGGCGCTGTCCGTGGTGCTGAGCCCCCGCAGGGCCGGGAGCTGTCCGAGGTGCTGAGCCGCGCCGCCCGGGCGGTACCATGGTGTTCGCTCCAGGTAAGGACAGCCGCTTCCCGATCCCAACTGGGGAAGCCAGCGGGAAGGGCCCGGCCGTGCCGGAGAACTGATGCGGGGAGGGGGTGGTGGGTGAGCCAGAGCTACCAGCAGGCAGAGGCAGGTAGGTTCAAAGAAGGTGGCTTAGCTTAGGATGTGTTTGGCTGTGGAGCCGGAGGTTATGAGGGTCATCCCTGTGGTTCCCATCAGAGAGAGGAGCCTCCTATACAAGTGTGCAGAGGACTGCTTGTCAGACTGTACAAAACGGTCAGGAAGGGGGACGTGGCCTTGGACTGACTGGAGAGTGAGTCCCCCTCAGCATCCACACTGGTGACTGCAGATGAGACAATCTGTGAAACTCATGGAGATATTTTACAAATTTCAATTTCCCCCTGTCCCCCCAAAAAATATTTGAATGGAAGAGAACAGAAAGTTTGTTCGGTCCAATTTTTACTGGAACAGAATTGAAGATTTCAGAAGGAGTGCATGTCTAATGGGAGACCTCACTCTATAAGGGTGCAGAATCTCTGCTGCACAGTATATATCAGCTAACACATAGAAGAAGGGAAACTACAGAGAATCTGCATTGAATTTCATACATTCTGCTTTGAAGTAGGCAGTTTGTTATTCAGAAAGGAATGAGAGGCCTGGTAGCTCCAGGATATAAATGTGTAGTGAAATGACTTGAAAATAACTTGTTTAAAGGTGTATAACTGTCAGTAAAATAGTGGGTCAATAGAAAAGGGAAGGTAAAAGCTGCAATTTGATAATGAATAACTATTAAAACCTTTTTTTTTGCAAAGCTAACTGAAGTTTTGTCTTCTTTGAAGTCCTATATCCAGTCTGTGAAGGGGAAAGAACCTTCATTAAAATAAATTATCTTGGGATTAACTTTGCTAGCTTGATAGAGTCTAAGTTTTTGGAAAAAATACTGTATCTTTTCAACAATCTGAAGTTCATTTTGTCTCTTTAACTGCCCGGTTGCTGTCTAATTTGATTCATTCACTTACATCGTGTTCTGAAACTGGGACCAAGTGATTTATATTAATAGAACCAGCCACTGCTTTTTGTAATACACCTTTCAGTATTAGTGGCTCTTTTCTGAACTCCTTTTATCTGTCAGACTGTCACCATTAACTGTACACGTTCTTGAAGTGCACTGTGGGACCAGAATACTGCAGGAAGAGATTACCTCTAAAATAATGAAAATGTGCTTCCCTCCCCCCCAAAGACTGACAGAGAACAAACCCCAAATGTCATTAATAACTGCATGAATTATTATTTTCACAACTGTAATCCATAGACAGAAAAAAAATCTGTCCAAATTGGTTTTGTATAGTCATTCTTCTTCAGTTTGCTTTTACTCAAAGAAAAGCCCATGGTTTCCTTGCAAATGTTGCCATAAAATACATAGGGCAACTCGGTAGGAGTTTGTAAAAGAGATGATAAAGCAATCTCTTATATTCAGACAGAGCAAACCTGAGTAAATTCCGATTTTTTTTATTGCTTTTTTTTCCCGCTGCAAATCAACCCTGACCTGGCATTATTTCTTCTCCAGATATTAAAAAAAAAATAAAAATAATCAGAACTTTATACATCCTTAGCATCTTCACAGTTCTTAAGGCCATGTAACGTAAGAATATTGTAAATTTACTTAGAAACTGAGTTTCATTTCTTGAGTCAACTTTCTGATTTTATCTCACTCTGATGAACGACCTCATTTTCTGTTCCATTTATTTGTTGAGATGCGAGAGGAGAGGAAGCAAAAGTCCATTTATTTGTTGGGGTGTGAGGGGAGAGGAAGCAGAAGATTTATCAAACGATAAACGTTTGGGGTCAGAATGATAAACATACTTCCAGAATGGAGGTGGAAAGAAGAAAACAAAACAACAACCAAGAGGAGACTTACCAGGTTTCAATAGACTTTTAAAAAGGTGGAGCCAACTGACTATTTACTTGAATAGATACTTTCCTGTTAATCTTCAACTCCTGAAATCTTATAGCTACTGTGTTGAAAAAAAACCACAATAAATTCCCCAAAATAAACGAATAAACAATCCCCCCCAAAGCCTGGAATTACTGAGCTAGATAGACAAAAAGGGCAGTATTCCATGTTCAAAATTGGACTTTCTGGGTCATTTGTGACAGTGTATTGCTATTTGCTGGTATGTAAAAACGTTTTCTTCATATGTGATCTTTCTTCATTCCCACTTAGAATTAAGTCTGTTCCAGAAAAAGAAATAAAAGAAAATACATTTTTCCTTACTTGGTTTAATGTGAGCAGGGTTTCATTACAGTTTTCTTCTATTTGACTAATGTTATGCTGATGTATAGGAAATGCAGTCCAAATTCTTAGATGTTTGGGCATTCATTTTTTTCTAGAGGATTCACATGTTGTGCTGCCCTTACAATGGGGTATGATCCATGTGGTGGAAATGTGCACAAGCTACATATTGCGAGGTTTAACTTCTTTACCTTTCCTAAACTGAACTGCCTTAGGCAGCCTGAGAAGTAGACAAAAATATGTTACTTGTTGTTGGATTTAAGGATGGAATTATGTAGGGCACTGCAGTAGAGAAGCATGAAATTTCAAGGTTTTATGTTGGATCAAAAAGCAAAGAGAAGTCATCACTGTTGAATTGGCAGGTTTTCTTAGGAGATAGATTTTGTTTAGAGGATAGTGTATTCCAGAATTTAAAAAAAAAAAAAATCGATGCCAAATTAGCCTATAAAATATTGATAACTCTAAATAATTCCAAAGATTAAATATCTGTCCTTGTGAGGTAGGAAATTAAGAGGTATTAAAACAGTTATTTGTTCTAAAGTGCTAGCAAAAATTACAGAATGCAGCAAGCTTTCTTCTGATAGCACATAATTAGGTTACAAAGGTGTGATCTTCCAATATTGGCATTTATCAAATTTAACAATAATTTTAAATGTTACTAATCAAACTAATTTGCAAACTTTAGTTACTCTTCCAAAAATTACCTTGGGCATATTCCATGCTTATTATCAACCTTAAGATGTCTTTTTTCAGTGCAAACATAAAAATAATACTCTTTACTTCCCATTTGCCTGAACAAGCACAGTACAAAGGTGTTTTTCATGCTCCAGTGATTTTCTCTGATGCCATTTTGCACGAGTCGCTCAAACGCTTATGTCTTAGGCCTTTGCCCTTATGTGTGTGTACTGATATAGCACAGCCATGGCCTGCATTTTTAAAATTAACTTGGGAATAAAGTTAGAAACCTGTTAAGGACATCTGAGCTACCTAATGGGTTTTCTAAGCAGATCTCACCAGAGTATAATTTCAGTGATTATTTTAGTCTATTTTGAGAATTTTACTCTTCTCTTATTCTGTGAAACCATAAATAAAATAACCAAATTATAAAATCTCATCATTGCAGGCCATCACTCTTTCATCTAGTACAAAGCTGTATTTGGTTGAATAGGTTTGGGGTTTTTCGGCTAAATAATGTATCCTGGAAAGGAGTCAGTTTTGATCTGAATACTTCAAGAAAGATTGGAACATTTACACTGACAGCTTGTTTCAGTTCAGAATACTCCCTTCCTTTAAGCTTGTACCTGCTCTGAATTGTGAGATTTCAACTTTTAGGTGAATCTTGTTATTTATCAGTGTAATTTGAAGAATTTCTTTTACCTGGCATTTTCTCATTGACTAGAAACTCATGTGCTTTACTTATGATCCTGCAATCTAAAAAGAAGGAGAGTGAGATAGAACTAATTTTTGTATCAATATTTTTATGTAAAAAAGAAAAAAGTGTGAATACAAAGTTTAAAGATAGACATTAGAGAAGTCAGAATATTCAATGCTCAGCGCCTTTTTCAGGCAGCAGCAACACCAGTAGCTTTTCAACTAGCTTTTCAGCAGCACAGCTGTTCTTAACACTTTTAAGCTAGGAGCAGTATAGCAGACTTGCATAATGACACAAGATCAGAAGCGTATCCTGTACCAAACATTTTAGGAATCTCATTAAACTGCAATTGAAGACGTCGCAGCTGCACACTGAAACAGATGTGCTTACTGGTCTCAATAGTCCTTATCTCCTCTGATGGAAAAACTGGGATAGCAGCAACCTGTTGTACTGTGGAAAGTGAAGACATGAAATTTCTTGATAGACTTTTTCTTTTTTTGATTATAGAATTACAGGTGCTATGGAGATCCCTGTCCAAAATGCCCAGATCAAGATGGTATGGAGGGACATGTTAATGAATGCAAAAATTGCTACCAATAACGAGTTTTTTTGAAGGTAACCTGTTATGGGATATCTCCGGTGTTTGTGTGGAGTGTGGTATTATGTCCATTAATGAAGTGTCTTTTATCCATGAGAACAAGGCAGGACGCAGTCCTTGTCCCCATTAACTGCTTTGCTATGTTCTGGTACTGCTCTGATTTCTGTAGCCCCCACAAAAAAAATCCCTAAGAAGACAGAAGAGTATTTATATGTGGGATTCTTACTCATTAGCTTCCTGCTGACAAAGGTCATGTGATGGACATGAATCAGAAGCTACAGACGAGACTATTTGCAGGGGCTCAGGCAGTCTCATATGTTTTTCTTGTCCAGAATTTGTGATGGCTGGTAGTGAGTGTAGGACCTGTTGCTGACCAAAAGTATCTAAATGCATTTACAGCTAAGAGTTCTCAGCAGTAGTTTGAAGTGTTTGCCACCTGGTAGGAAGAAATCATATAAGAGGAAATTTCTTATTCTTTTTTGCTGAGGAAAAGTTGTTACTTATGCTGCCCTCTCCCCAATGACACATTGATCTTCCCCCTGCTGTGAAACTCCACTAGCAGATCTCATTAGTGAAGTGAAAGAAAGTTTGTTCATAGATATTCAGAAATGTGGTGAAATTATCAAGCTTAAAAAATAGTCAACAGTTCTAGGTGCAATCTTTCCTTAAAGTATGAATGAATGTAGTCTTAAAAACTGACACAGAATGTACTTTTTAAAATTATTTTTAACAGAACAGAAGGCTTAAACAACTGAGGCTGGCACCTTTCACTTCCATATCACTGGGTTGAATCCTATTCAGGTTAGCAGTGAGAAGAATTCTGGTTTCACAGTGGCAGGGTAGTGGCCTATATTGAAGGAGTTGTTCATAGTTGGGGGATGGTGGTAATAAGTGATACAGTCATTATTAACATCCTTATTGGCACTGTTTACTGAGCAGGAAAGTCAAACAGTCAATGCAGAAAAGGAACGAGTTACACTGACCTCTAAAGTTTATCCCTCCAAGTCATTATTCTTCTAGATGAATTGTTCTCTTGTACTTGTAATAGACATAAATAATAAGATTCCAGTCTTATAAGCTTTATCATGATAATGGAAATAAATGCACTTACTGTAAAATACAGTGAAAGGTAGATTTATTCCTATACCTTCAATCTTTTCTATTAAATGTTTTATTAAGGACGTAATCCATTCTATTAAGTTTACAAATACTAGGTTAAGAAAAAATTATTTGCAAGTAATGTATTTATAATTTCTTTATAGGCTTTCTGAAATTTTCTGACTACTAGTTACCCATTTGTATTGTGTTCTTTACATAATAACTTGAAAGGTCCTACTGAATTTCAGTGAATGTCAATTGGAGAAGAGTCTTTCCTGATGTCAGCAGCAATTAAAGGCTGACCTAAAGAGTCATAAAATGTTTCAGGTTCCTTTAGAATGCCTTGCCAGGGAAATCAGGGCAGGTGAGCTCTGTGCTGCTGTTGTCTGCTCCTGTAAATGCCTGTAGTAGTGTTATCAGAAGATACTGTCTTCCTTCTTCAAGAGAATTTGAAATTTTCTGCCTGAAGAAGTAAATTGAGCCATGTACTACTCAGCTGTTTCTCTAATGGTAAGGCAAATATAATCTCCTGTGAATTACTTGCATTTGCTTCACTTTGTAGTATGCATATTTGATACAATGACACTGTATTTTCAGTCTTTGGGCAATGAATCTATTCACAGTTTATCAGTATGGAGGGGTTGCATGTCCATTACTACTTCTATTAAATACCCGCAGACTGACATTGCATTTTATCTTGAGGTAATAGTTCCTTAATAGAGCAGGAAATATTTCTCTGGGAAGACAGAGAATTAGTTGCAATGGTGGAAAAGAGCCTGTTGTAAGGACAGATTCTGTCAAGATTACAGCTATGAAAGAAAAAAATAAAAGGTTTTACTCTTTCAAGGTGCCTTTTAGGTTTATATAATCTTTAATTCACTTTCTCTTGTGACTTTGTGTATATGCATACATATATATATATATATAAAAATATATAAAATCTCAGCCTCAATTGCTAATAGCCATGTTAACAGCTTTGGTACTCCAGTCAAATTCCAAAATAAGCAGGAAAGTTGCAAATTTAGGTTTTTTTCCTAGGGTTTTTGTTGTGGATTGTAGGGGGGGTTTTGTTTGTTTGTTCTTTTTTTTTTTTTTTTAAAGCTAGAGAAGAGCTCTGTATCAGCTGAGGTTTAGCTAGACAATTTCTTATTCTGAGTAATCTGGTATAAACTGAAACACATCTAAAATGTAACAGGTTGTTTTCACTGGTTTGCTGGCTTTTGACAGGTTACATAAACTCTTCACAATTTTCTTCTTTAAAAAAATCAGGTTCAGATATAGGAAATTTTAATTAACCTGTACATACATCTTTAAGACCAAAACTCACAAAAGATTGCAGAAATATGAATACAACCACTAGCAAAATAAACCTTTAGCAGTGGAATACGCCTCCATTGAAAACTTCCCCTTTACTTATGCTATGCAGTGTTGGATACAAAAGTCTTCTAACACAAAAGCTAAGTATTTCAGAGGGGGTTTGTGGAAGTCCACCAATGAACTTTTCGGTACAGATTCAGAAGACCTACATAAATGTTATTTAGCTTTCCGTTCTTAATGTTTTCTTTCTTTGTGTAGGAATTTCTGAGCACCTGAACAGTAGAAAATAGAAGGCAGAGAGAGTTAGATCATGAGTGGTGTCCCTCAGGGCTCTGTCTTGGGATCGGTGCTCTTCAGTACCTTCAACAATGACACAGACAGCGGGATCGAGTGCACCCTCTGCAACTTTACAGATGGCATGAAGCTGAGCAGTGCAGTTGGCACAACAGAAGGATGGAATGCCATCCAGGGGGATCTGGGCAAACTTGAGAGGTAGACCCACAAGAACCTCATGAAATTCAGCAAGTCCAAGTGCAAGGTCCTGCACCTGCAGGTCAGGGCAATCCCAGACATAAGCATGGACTGGGAGAAGAGCTGGGAGAGCAGCCTTGCCGAGAAGGACTTGGTGGTGCTGGGATGAAAGGCTGGACATGAGCCAGCAGTGTGTGACCAGCAGATCAAGGGAGGGGATTCTCCCTCTCTACTCTGCTCTGCTGAGAGCCCACCTGGAGTGCTGCATCCAGTGCTGGAGTCCTCTGCAAAAGAAGGGCATGCACCTGTTATAGCAGAGAAGGGCAGCAAAGATGATCAGAGGACTGAAATACCTTTCCTGGGAAGACAGGCTGATAGAGTTTGTGTTGTTCAGCCTGGAGAAGACTTCGTGGAGTTTTCCAGTCCATAAATGGAACTTATAAAAAAAAGGAGAGTGACTTTTTATGTGGACAGATAGTGATAAGACTAGGAGGAACAGTTTTAAACTGAAAGAGGGGAGACTTAGATTAGACATTACAAAGAAATTCTTCACTGTGAGGATGGAGAGGCACTAGAAGAGGTTTTCCAGAGAAGTTGTGGATGCTCCTTGGCAGGGAGTTTGGATCCTTAAAGTCACTTCTGACCCAAACTACTCTAAAATTCTGTTATAGGTCACCTGTTTCTGTGCCACTGGACCTCTCCCTCCATGGAAGAATCTCCCTCCATGGAAGAAAATAAGAGGTTTCTTATTTCAATATTTGAAATGGATTCCCTAAAGAAATAGGAAAATTGTACAGATGGAGAGAATATAAATTTTTCATAAACTTTGAATTAGCTGGTCCTAGATGTTCTTTAGGAAGTATCTTATTTTTGATACACTGAACTCTAGCCTAGGAGCTAAAAGCTCTGATAAATTATTGTTAGTTTACAGTATTGGAATGAGAAATTTTCCTTCTGGGGTCAAAATCTAAGTATCACATTTATGTGTTTGGGTGTGGCGGAATTGTCTGTGACCAACTCTTTGAACTACATTCAGTCTCAAAGCTGAAAAGACACAGTCCTTAAGGAGTGAATTTATTGCTATGTGTGAAGAAAATATATGGATTGAAGTGTTTAATCTGGTTTTAGTTAATATTATTAATTTATGGCAAGAAACCTTACTAAAATATGTTGAAAAAATGCTTAGGAATAGATAATGTATCTATAGATCTCAAGCTCTAAGAAAAAACAACTTTGGAAGCTTCATTTTGGCTGACATATTTCAAATAGTATGAAATAAATTGCTGGAGTCTCCAAAAAGACAATTTCCATATAACAAACCAAAGAGGTTTCCTGATATTTTCTTCTTTTAAGAAACTGAAAAATTCAGTGGGGAAAATAATTACAGAAACTCAACTGAGATATAGGTAGTGGCTGGATAAAAAGATACAGTAAAGTATTACTCTGGAGATATTATTATGTCCTTTGCAACAGTTTATCTGTATTTCTGCTCTTATATTTTATTTTGAAGAAAAAAGTAGTCTGTGCTGGCCCCCTTCTTGGGGGAAGTTCTTCTTCCATACTTGTTTTGCAGCAGGAATTAGGGAGTGATGTTAGGGCAAAAAATAAAACTGAACCTAACCATGAATTTTCTAGTGAAAGTGAGTGTTACAATCCCCTGCACAGAGTGATTAGGGTATTGGAAAAACTCAATGATCCTACATTAAAACACTTTTAGCTGTTCTGATATGTTCAGTGTCCTCCCTTCTTCCTCAAGGAATTGCAGTAACTGAGTAATGCTTTCCAATACTTGACAACTATTAGTCAGGACCTCACCAGGCTGCATTTCAGAGCATGAGAAATGGTACTGGACACAATTAACTCTAATGCAGTTAAGAATGCATTTATTATTTATTTTTTTAAAATATTAAATTTACAACTTCCTTGTAGGATCATTTCATGAGGTCTCTGAACTGGCATCATTACTAACATTGAGACAAATTGGGTCTCTAATCCTGTGAACAGCTCAATGGCTCTCATGCATAAAGTTGGTTTGTGCACATGTGTTGGAAAGCCTTCAGCCCTGGCTGATTGCCGTGTTCATTCATTCTGGATATAATTAAACTGACTCATCAACATTTCCTGATTATGGATGCTGTGTAGCCTCATACTTTATATCTCTTCTTCAAATTAGGCGTTTTGTACTGAAGTTCTAGCTCCAACCTCTAAAGCAAAACAAAGAAGGAGATTTTTTTAACCATCTTAATTCACAGATTACAAAATATTCACCAGAAGAGGCTCACCTGGAACTTCTGTGCTGTGGTCAACAAGATGGAGATATGTTACTGCCTAATGCCACAGGGAAGTTAAAGAAATTAACTTGGTTTCTTGTAGAAGAATATCAATATTGATGCAAAGAATGTTAGTGTTAATTATTGCAACATACACATGTATATTATGTTATTATAAACTTGCCTGGTTCTGAAAGTTTTTAAATATGTAGAGCTTATAAAAACAATTTAGGTGATAACATGCAACTTTTTTCCATAAATACAGCTCACATTCATCCACACTGGACCATTTGATGAATTCTAATCATCATGGTCTTGTTTACTTATACTGTCATTTCCTTTAAAAATTCATCAGTACTCTCAGTTGGATTATAAAAATTACAGTAGTAATTTTCAATAGAATTAAAATGGATTTTCCAGAGATCAGCATTTATGTTGAATTATTATTAATTTTTATTAATAATGGAAAAAAATTAATTCTAATGTTGCAGAGCTGCGGAAAATAATATAATGGTTAAATATTGCAATCCAAAGCAATATATTGATAAAACTAATAGTCAATTTTCCGGTTAAAGGCTATACCTGCATAATCTCATGTAAAAATGAAGAAAAAATATTTACTTCTTGGCTCTTTCAGCTTCAAGATTCCTGCATAAATTAAAATTGTAGCTAACGGGGAAAACATTTTGGTTATTTCTGAGTTCTAAACTGATCAGAAGTTTGCTTAGAGGAATGTGATTTTTATTCTTAGTTTTAGATGTGGTTAAGCTCAAAGCTGTTTACACGAACAAAAAATTCTCATTTCCAGAAGACTGACATTAGTGGTATTCATTTGCTGGAATTAAACTGCAGTGGTTATTCCTGTGAAGCAGAACATAAACTTCTGACCTCTGATGCATAGCCCTTGAGATTCAAGGGCTATGCCCCCTTCAAGGGCTATGGAACCTGTCACATAAGCTAAGCTGCTCTCTTCAAATGCAATGTTTGTATTGTTCCTCAAGACAGAATGAAATGTAACCTTCAGGAAGACATGATGAGCTGCATAAATGTCACAAACTTTGAGGAAAGGTGAATTAAAATTAAAGACATTATTTTTCTCCTTGGAAAATTAGTAACCTCATACAGGCGAAGAAGCAAAAGGGATAATTGAGGGACAGTAGAAGTTTCCTGAGACTGAATGTACATTCATGGTCATGCATGCTCATGCATAACCAATGTCTTCTCAGAAAGTATGGGATAAATTATTTCTATTCCATGTTCTCCAAGAGTGGAAAGTTTCTTTCTACCACAGCTCATTCACCATTTAGTTCCTGCTCTCTTTGCATGTCAGAAATGTTGCTTCTGTTTCCTTCTAGATCACCTATTGTGCACCCCACAGTTTATTGCCAGCATTACTGGATCTGGGATGAACTTGCATCTTTGCAAGGTCATGCCTGTGGTAGTTTAGTTTCATGATAATATTCCAAACAATCCTATGACGAGATACAGTAGAGAACTTAGATGCTGATTCAAACAAATTACCTGTTGTTGAGTGTTATTTAGTAGGAGTGTTTATAAGGCATAATAAATTTGTAGCAAGCTGAAAGGGAAAAGCCACAGGGGATATCAACAGAAAGTGTACTTTGATTGTGGGCTGGAAAGAAAATGACTTGGGATGCTTTGAAGAAAGTGAACTGTATAAATGAGAAAAGGCTCATGTGCAACCAGAGTGAAGTTCTGCCAAATGTTTTTTCTCTGTACCTATTTTTTTTCTATGTATACCTTTCTTGGGTATTCCATAGTCTAGAAACATCGCAGAGCATGTAAATTCTCACACACTAGATATTTTTGTAACTTAAACTAATATTAGTTCTATTAATTGAAATGAGTACTTGGAATTTACTTCAAATACTTTTATTCTTTTTCCAAACTGCTAGCATGTTTTCCTTTTTGGGGAACATCCTCAGGCAAGCTAAGGGAATTTCAAGGCACTGATCTATGGGATTAGTTTTAGCTGGAAGTGGAATATGTGACTGATTCCTGCAGCCAGTCCAAGATTTTGAGGTTTTTTTGGATCCCTCAAACTAAACTTTAGATTGCAGAACCAGACCAGAGTTTGAAAGTTAATTTTCATCTCCGTGTTAGTTGGCACAAAATTTACCAAGTGAAAGATAAGGTAATAAAAATATGTTAAAGATACTTTGTCAGGTGTTAATGATAAATTACTGCTTTGCATTTAACATCACTTAACCTGGATATTTCAGTTCTCTATTTACAGAATTGAGGTGCTGGGTTCCTGTATGTCAGGTGAGCATCTAAAGATAAAGAGTAAGTAGAAAAGAATTTCTGACATCAATAGAAAAAAAAGTAGTCTTTACACAAGGATAACTAGTAGACAGAATGCTGCTTCTGATGTCCTTCAAATTTTCCCCAGCAGTTACTTCAAGTGACCTATTTGTCATAGAATTTTAACTTAACTAGTTATTCTTCAAATTTAAAAAAAAATATAGATAAAAATTAATTGTATGTTATCACCCCAATAACTCTTATTTTGATTACCAAAACACCAAATACTTGGACAGCAGGAGTGATGTCTGTTTCACCTGATTGAAAAGACACAGTTCTTAAAATGCCTGATTAATTCTATAGGCAGTCAAATTTCTGCTTTGGTGTCCACAGCAGCCTGTATTTCAGCAAGGTGAAGGTAGATATGTTCCAGCTCAACCTCTTTGGGATTCTTGCATGAATCATCTCTGCTTTCCTTAGTCAATTCCTTTCTTCTTCCTCAGAGTAGGTCCAGCATATCAATAAATAAATGAGCTTCTCAGAAACAGCTAGCTAAGTGATTTCCTTGAAATGAGTAATTGGAAGAAGAGAATGTAGTGGGAATGCTCTTCAAGACACGGCTGTTTACTCCTTCAAGAAGTGGAAAAATTGGGGTTTATGGTGGGAAGGGACCTCTGGAGGTCATCTTGTCCAACTCCTGCTCAAGTAGGGTAATATAGAACCATTTTCCCAACATCATGTCCAGATGGGCCAGCTGTAATTAATAACACACACCCAGGGGAGCTGCTTAACATGTCTGGATTCTGGTTGGCAGTCCAGCTTCTGCACATAATAGTCTTGGACCTCTACACAGCACCAGGTATCCCCCTCAAAAATAACTATTATTTGCACTTGCTTTCTAATTTAGATGGTCAGCAGAAGCTGGTCTCATTGGTCACATCACCCCCACTCCAACAGCTTTGGCTCTCTCCATGTCCAAAGCCAGTTAGCTGTTATTATCTAAAAGTTACACAAATATAAATTAAATTTGTTTGAGCTGCCTTATTTCCTTTCTGTGCATATCTAAGCCCTCAGAGGCAGGGCAGAAGTAGTCCAGGGGTTTTAGATTCTCTGTTCTTGGTTATCTCAGCAAATAAAAGAATCACCTAGTAAGTTGCTAATCTAAAGCTGAGCAGATGAAAACTACATCTCACTTATCTGAGTGGTGCTTTCAGATGGGTTTTACTCCAAAATAAACAACTGAAAAAGATAGAAATTCACTGGAAAACTATCCTTTTTTCAGCTGGGTGTTGCTGTGAATGACCTTCCTCATGTAAAAATATTTAAAATTCAGATTTTGCAGATATTAAGTGGCAAGGACCAAATCATCCCTAAGGAAAGAAAACTGAGTCATTTTCAACAGCAATGTACTTAATGACAGTATCTTTTCAGCAATAAATTCTGGGGGTTTATGGCTTTAGGGGTTGGCAAATTTTTCACTTTACACATAATATCATAGACCATTACAACATACTCATCTGTATTTAGAATTTCATGTTTATCTATGCTTTTGTTAATATATTATCTTCTGAACATCAGCGAGTTGACTGATCAACTCTGCAAGAAGACTAATTAATTTTTATCACCTTACAATTGTGTAATAAAATTGAGTTCATATTTGAGTAATAAAGAAGTATCTATACTTTACTGTTAAGTAACATTGAATTTTATTCAAAAAAACACTGTTTCAAGTGCTAAGGAGTGGGGAAAACTGAATCAGGGAAGCTGATAGTACCAAGAATTCAAGTGATTCCTTTCAGTCAGCTTTTCCACTTTAAAGCATATTTTCTAAGTTTTCACATTTTTAACCTCTTAATTCTAGACAAACTTTGTCATCACAATACAGTTGCAGGATTTCTTTTTAATTATTCAGTTTCAATAGAATTAAACAACATTTTTATTTTGCTTTTAAGCAAAACATGTATAATATGAACATGATAAAAATAAGTATTTGTTTTTAGAGAGAGGTGGGAGATAATGAATTATTCCTTTCTCATTGAGTAAGCTTTGATTGTTTTGCAGCTCATTGTTTTGGGCTCGCAGAACAGTTTGGGTCAGAAAGAACTTTCAAAGATCATCTAGTCCAACCCTTCTGCCATGGGTGGGGACATCTTTTATTACATCAGGTTGCTCAAAGCTGTGTCCAACCGCATCTTGAATGTTTTCAGGGATGGGGCATCCACAACAGCTCTGGGAAGGCTGTTCCCAGTGTCTCATCATTCTTATCATAAAAAATTTCTTCTTTACGTTCAGTGTAAATTTACCTTCTTAGTTTAAAACCATTGCTCCTTGTCCTTTCAGACCTTTTACTTGCCCTGGTAAAAAATCTCCAGTTTTCTTGTAAGTCCCTTTTATGTATTGAAAGGCCATAATAAGGTCTCTCCGGAGTCTTGTCTTCTCCATGCTGAGCAACCCCAACTTTCACAGCTTGCCTTCATAGGACAGTCATCTAAGCCCTCTGATCATCTTCATGGCCCTCCTCTGGGCATGTTCCAACAGGTCCATGTCTTTACAGTGCTGAGGACCCCAGACCTTGACTACTCCAGAATCTCACGGGAGCAGAGTAGAGGGGTAGAATCACCTCCCTTGCCCTGCTGACCACTCTTCTTTTATATAGACCATCATAGAACTGGCTTTCTGGGCTGCAAGCAGACATGGCCATCTCATTTCCACTATTTTGTCTACGGCTATCTCGACGTCCTTCTTCAGAAAGCTGCTCATAATAAATTCACCACCCATTCATTGTCTGCATTGATATCGCGCATTGCCTTGACCCAGGTGCAGGACCTCAAGCATATCACATCTTAATAGTGTATTCCTTAAGGAAACTAGTGATTCTCCATTTGTTTCTATCTTTATCCTGCTTCTGTCTTTTTATCCTGAAAGAACATTGGGAATTTATCACGGTTCCAGATATGGACCTCTCATAAAAGCAACTGACCTTTAATTCGCTCTGTTTGATTTCTCTCAGGATGTAATTCTTAATACATGTCATTAAAAAAGACAGTAAAATACAAATACTATTTAATTAAATGCTTGAGCATATCAGTCATTTAAGAAAGAACTGAGATCAGTGTCTTCAAAACCTTTAAAATTAAATCTAGTGATGTAAATAAGCACCTAGGCTAAGAATTTCAATTGGCAACTGAGTTCCTAAATGCCAATAGGTGTAAATCACCTTAATTCAGAATATATATTTTTTAATCAAGATAACTTTGAATGTTATGGAGCACTTTTTATTGTCTGAATTGTCATTTGTGTTAGGAATCAAAACACTTTTAAAGAGAAACCTTTAAACATAAACTATTCTTCTTCATTACCAAATGTCAGTAGTCACACTACATTACTTTTTTGTTCTCCAGATTAAACTTTCTGGCAAAACAAGGAAGTTTCACATAAGAAATATGTATTTGTCAGGTTGCTATAGAAAGTGTTTTCTGTTTTACGTATAGCAATCCGAGCTTTTTTTAATGTTGTGCACATATCTTTGAAAACCTAGCTAAGGATTAATAAACTGCACTTAACAAAATTTTGTACGTTGAAGTCAGTTAGAATTTGATGGATGAGGGCTTTTAATCAGAAGTAATAGTAAACAGAAATGTTAATGAAACAGATTTTTTTCTGTATGGTGGTGTAGTACATGTCAGGCTTGCAAATTGAAATCCAATTCCCTGTCCAGAAACACAGCTCAAGTCAAAAAGGATGTGATTAACAGCTGGATGAGAAAACCCTCATTTCCTGTCTTACTGCAAAATGTATCTGTGCTTTTTTCAGCTGTGAAGTCGCAGCTGTCCCCAGAGCTGGGGTGTGGGTAACTCAGCTGTATGACTCAGACTCCCCCTTCATTCAGTCCTGTAGCACTGACCACACAGAGGCGCTTTCTACCCTAATTTGTCTTCTGTATTGGCAGGTTTCTTATGTAATAAACTGTCCCCAGGTACTCTGTGGTTTGGTTGTTTTGTTGAGTATTGTTACTCTTCCCTTTTTCTGTCCTTCATGTTTTCACAGAGTAGTCCCAAGTTCTTAGTTCCTTTTCTTTCTTGTTTGGCTTTGGCAGGTGAGAAGCCAGGGACGGAGCAAGATGAAGTTAAGCTGCAGAACGCCAGCAAGCAGATTGTGCAGACTGCTATCCTCCGAGCAGTGCAGCAAGTTTCCCAGGAGAGCCAGCAAAAGGAGAAGCGAACAAACAGTACAAGCCTCCAGCTAGAAAGAGGAAAACTAACCAAGAAGCATGAAAAGAAGTAAGGGAGCAGATTGGGTTTTTTCAGTCCTCCAGTCTGCAGAGTTTTCAGCCTTCTCTTTAGTATCAGCTGTATTGCCAGTGCAATGCTACTGTTGTAAAGCAAACCAAAGTATTATCACACCTAGACATAGGGTAAAACTGCAATAGTCCTCAGCTGAGAAATATTAAGTGCATTAGATGAATAACTCCATACTTATGCAGTGCCTCTTAACAGAAACAATAACCATAGTTATAAAAGTAGTTTCAAGCACAAACTCTTATGATATGAACTTATTCTCAAAAGCTTGTTGTCAGAGCACTTTCATGTTAAGTTCTGCGTGCAACATTTATGTCAGTTCAGCTGGATGGACTCTTCTTTGAGCGAATGGGTTCACTGAAGTTGTCTTTACCGAAGAAATAGTTTACTGTCAAGTATAGCAGAATGATTTCAGACTCCCTTGAAGCACGGGTTTGTACTTTGCTTTGATTAGACATGAGCTATGTGAAATGGAGTATAAAGTGGATTTGGCAAGTTCTGTGAGCCAATTTCTTTTTTCATCTTAGAAAAAAAAAGAGCAATCCAGTAAGACTGCAGTAACTGTGATCTATTACTGTGATCATATACCTATGATCTCTGTCTTTTTTTAAGAAAGTTAAAATAAGTACTGAAGTTTTAGTCTACTTATTTGAAATACTTCTATACTTCTGCATAAAAATCACTTGTGCCTCAACTATTCCTTTTAATTTTCTTGATATTGAAAGAAGATAAAACTGATGCAATGATAAGGAGTTCACCAATATATTCTTCAGTTTTGCAGCTTTTCTGGGGCTTGATTTACAAGACTGGAGTGTCTTAAAAAAGGGGTTGAATTTATTAATATCTTGAAGGATGAAAATATACTGTGTCTGAATTCTGTCATGGTAGATATTTCTCACCTGCTGTGCGTAAAGTGACTTTATATATTTGCAATTGTAACATAGATTCACCTTAAATAGCATTGCATTAAGCTGGTAATACAGAGCTTACCCTTTAAGTGCTCTATATAGCTGAAGAAATCCATGATGTTTCAGAAAAGACAAATTAAAAAAATGTTCCCTTCACTTTTATGCTCCCTTTCTGTAATGATGATTGCGCTATTATACGTCTGAAATTAATAACTGTGTATTTAATTCTAGAAATGGCTTGTAGCTCTGCTTCAACTGAATTCCTGTAGTAATGCACCTAGAAATAGAGAGAAGCAGATGTTCTGCAAAACTGTGAACTATTTTTCTACTCAGCTAGGTGGTTCTCAAAGCGGTTGTGGGTTAAGCAATTGGCTATTACTGTGTCCTGTTGCTTGTGTTAAACAATTTTGGATTCATCATGGCCAGAGGCTTAGCCATTAATAGCCACATACTGTAATATTAAGTTTTTAAATTTACTTGGTTTCTTTCTTTTTTTTTTTTAACTTAACAGCACTGACTCATACAAGATAATAATTTAGCTCAATCTTCTTTCACTTAAAAATTAAAAGAAGAATTCAATATGATTAAAGTTGTTCCAAATCATCTAATAATGAAAACTGACTCGGATTCCAAGTACACAGATGGTTCAGTTCTGTAGACACTGCGTGAATGTTTTTAGCCAAGCAAACTGAAAGGTGAAAGTGATTGGGTCTTGAGGCATGTGTGGTTTTGTTTTAATAGTAATTGTTTTACCATTGGCTTTTTCGTCAGTTCACCTTTGGTTGGGAGGTAACTCTTTTCTAAGCACTCTTTGCATCTTTGCTTTCTGAGAGCCTAAGAAAACTGATCATGAGTAAAGGTTTAATTCTGAGTCTGATGAGCAGGCAAGTCCAGTGGATGAGAGAGAGCAAACCTTTTGGAGAGACTCCGTGGTGCAAAACAGTGTTTGCCATGGACTCACCTACAATGCTGCAGGAAGGAGAGATATTGAACATATCAATTTCTTTGAAAATATTCTACTCCTTTAATGTTTTTTGTCACTATAAATTTGAAATGTGTTTGTGTTGGGTTTTTTTTTTGTATTCCTGGTAATTATGTTAATAATCTTCATATAATTTTAAAACTTGTTTGTATGTCATGTTTTTTTTAATTAATCATTTTAGAGAAAGAATAATTTCAAAAGCCAGTGAGTCCAGGCTTTTGCCACTGCTTTATATGACCCTATTCCACTCCTGGTCCCGCTCCTCCCACTATACTGTTATATAATATCTCTTTACTGTCCTAGTCCTTTCAGACACACTATTACTCAACCATTTAACAGTCATGTCCACCACTGTCAGAGTACCGATGCCATCAGAAGTCTAATATCTTGGAAAACTAAAAATGGTGGGAAGCCTAGCAAAGCCTTGAGGAAGTTTTCTGTAGTCTCCTATTGCAGACAAACAAATACTGCATCTTAAGTAGTGTAGTTTTCCCTGAGAGCCAAATGATGTGTCTCCAATCTAGAGTATACATCCCTAAGTTAGAGCATGCATTTAGTATTTCCTGTTGACAACAGATGTTCCGCACACCACTTACATCCAGGATATGCAACTGAGGTTTGTACTACATGAGAGAAAACTGCACAAAAGTAAACTTTACCCTTGGTTCATTATATGCTTACTACATGATGAAAGCGGGTATTTTTTGGTATTATCTTCACTCACAGATTGTATTTTCTGAAGAAAATACAAGACTTTAGAAATTATTACAGATGTGATGTAGGTCTTTCTACAAATAAAAAAGAACACCTAAAGAAACTCTTAATACTTTACATGTCTCTGGTTTTTCCTGTCAGAAGAGGGGAAGCAGTTTTCAGATTCACTAGACAAGTCTCATGAAGCAAACTGTGCTCATGAGATTTGTAGTAATGAATGCATTATTCAGCACAGTAATTCATATCTTAGAAGTACAAGACAATCAAAATGGTATCTATAGGTATTTAAAACAAACTCACCACATTTTAGCACTTACAGTGGTAAGTAGAGGGTTGTACAACTATGTGAAATTGTATTTATCACAACTCCAAAAGAACAGAACAGTCATGTGTCTGTGGCAATCCTGCACTACACTTGCTATGTTTTCAGTCAGTTTGATTATCCGAATTTTATTACCATACTTGTGCTATTCTTTGTAAGGGTAATCAAACAGCAATGCTTAAATGGAAATTCGCATGGTCATAGCAGAATGTTGTAAGAGATTACTAAATGCCACTGTACATTGGTGGTTTGGTTTTGGTTTTTGGTTCTGTGTGGTTACATTGGAAATTCCTTGCTCTAAAATAAATAAAACCAACAACTGTGACTTGGAAACAGCCATATTAATTTTATCATTTCAGAAAAATAAAAGCATTTTGTGATAATATTATATTTAAGAGTTGAAAATTCTTGAATATTTATTCAATAGCAAACAACCACCTAAAAATATTACTGTCTCTACTCATGTTGTGTCTGATTATTTTGTTTTTTGTTCACATTTTTTAAATGTTTCAGAATGTAGTATGTCTACAATGGTAAGTAAAATTGCTAGGTAACTGTTCTCAATATTACTACCATGAAATACACTGCAGTTTTTCTTTAAATGGGTGTTAATATCAAATGCAGGGATTAATGTGTCATTACTGAAGGCTTTTCTGAAAACAGTTTAATTTCAATTAAGGGGAAGGATAAGAGAAAGTGCAATAAATTCCTGAAAGTATGTGGGATTCACCCTAAGTCTCTTGGTTATCCACTCAGGTCTGAAAAGAAATTAAATTAATGAAAACCTGACTCTTGACATAACCTAATTTCTCTCAATGGGTTTCTGCAACACAGGTATCGAGTTGTTAAAAGAGTTTGTGGGAGTGAGGAGAAAACTTGAGTTGTTGGTAAATATCTTCTTTACCTGACACTCAGTAAGGAGTGAGTAGCAGCTTAGTTTCTAATGGATGGGGTTTCTCTTCACAGGCTTTTGGAGCCTTCTGCTCTGGCAGAATCTTTTTTGCTATTTTGGGTTTTCCAGAACAAAGGGGGTATCTGAGGCCTAATAGGTTTTTAATTTGTGTGTATACTGCTGTGTCAAAACCAGTAGAAATAAGGTCTCTATTCTCTGCTTCCAGAGCTTTATTCACAAAACGTTGTGGACACACATGGGATTTTATTTTTGAAGACCACTGAATCTTCCCTGGATTTAGTCAACTTACCCAGCAATTCTTTAATCCTTAAGACTTAATGCATGAGCACACATACTTGCATACTAGTGTTTGAGTGCTCCAGGGAACACCAAGAAATAGATACATATTTTAAATCTATTTGCTTCTAAGCTGTTCTTGTCTGCAAAGCAGATTTTTTCCTTTAATTAACATAATCAGCTTTTCTTTTCTAATAACTTTTCCTCCAGTGACTTGCTACTTGGATTTTATTATATGAGCTTGCTAGTTTTAACACTAAAACAACAATAGTTCGTGTTTAGTTTGGGTTTGATTAGAACCCCTGTGGTGTTACACATTACATTGTGGTATGGCTTTTGTCTTTCCTTTTACTAAAGGTGAGTAACAACAATAAATGATGTTCTAAAGAGAAGGAAGTTTGGGGGGGGAGTGCTGTAGTTGTGGTGGGGGTTTTGTGAGGGTTTTTTCCCTCAATTGCCTCTAGCAGGAGGCCAGAGGCCATGTGGGCAAATCATCATGAATCATTCACACATGCTGTGACAGTAACTCAGTGTAGAACTTGTACAGAAAGAGAGACAATTAACTCTTATGAAAGATGGAAACTGAACCCAGCTATTCAAAGCTGAACTGAGCTGATTCTAAAATGTTAGAGTAAGGCACTCCTGGTAGCTTTAAGGAAAATATTCCATGAGTGCTCTGAGAGTTGAACTCCATTTAGAAATACCAGCTAGTGAAGACTGTAATTGCTTGCTTTGTTATATGAGGTGGAAAATGAGCACTACTGTATTGTTCTGAAGACTTAAGTGCTACCTCCTTGTGTCTATGGAAAACTTTGAATTGTGTCTTTTAGCAAGGTGACATATTTGCTCCTGCCCTATGGAGCAAAGAGCTGCTCTTCTGTTTGCACATGCATCTCAGAATGTTTAGACCCTGTCTCCAGTTGCTATAGTAGATGCCCTTGCCCTGTAATTGCTTAGTAAACATAGCTCCTACTAATGCTGTTCCCCCTCATTTCTTTCCCATGAAGCAGCTCATTCTAAAAATCCTCAGCTACAAGATGAAATATGAAAGCCATCTGCTTCCTAACGGGGAGAGTGAATATAATAAATCTTCTTTGCCTCATTGGTGGGATATTGACCCTTTCCCACAGAAGTAGTTATTTCCAAGGAGGACAACACTGTTAGCCAGTGCTTGCCTGCTATCTCTTGCTGAGGGTTTACCCATAAAGCTGTGATCTTCAATATTGCCTTCCAAGGGAAAACCTACTCCTGGGACACAGTTTGTCCTGACTGGTCACAGCTTTTAGCTCCCTGACTTCCACTGACCACATACATAGTTTTACCCACTATAGTAGAACAGCAGACTTTCAGGTCTAATATGTACATTGCTGAGTATGTTTGTACTCCACTAGATGAAGAAGTTTATATGTATGCGGTCCAGTAACCTTAAGTAAAACTTTTTATCAGATCTTGTATTTCCTCCCATCATATTTCCCAGAACTGTAGATACTTTTCTACAACCACTTTGTTTTACTGAGCATTAGACTTGCTAAATCTATAGGCAGGAACAAGGAATCTTGTTGTCCTCCTCTATCTAGGTCACTGAAACCTGCAGGGAGTGACAGAGCTTTGCTGTTTGGGAAAATGACGCTCTCAGTGCTGCTTTTGTGGCTCCTCTCTTGACCTTGTGTTTCTTTATTTCCATGTATTTATGTATTCGCTTCCCGACAGGAGGTCCACAAAACAGATATCTGAGATACCAGAGGTGCAAAGGCACAGTGTGTACTTACATCATCCTCAAGTTTATAGTTTTTCGTATTCAAAAAACGATCGGATGTGGCACTTAATGCCATGGTCTAGTTGATAAGGTTGTGGTCAGTCAAAGCTTGGACTTGATGATCTCAGAGGTCTTTTCCAACCTAAATGATTCTGTGAAACCAGCCCCATGGCATGCTTCCTTTTGGTAACTAGCTGAAAGAACACAAGGCTTGAAATCTCTATTTTTCCTCAGCGTTTGAGACATTCAGATGCCATGAAGTCAAGAGCTTCTTTGAGTTCAGGAGATATACAAACTCTTCCTTCTGTTTGCTAAATGTGTCTTCAAAGATCAGTCCTGAGTCAGGTGACAGCTTGCTCATCACTGTGCTCAGAGGAGCTGGGTAGATAAGAAAGCAGCATATCTCAAGCCAGGCTCTGAGGAATAGAACTTTTCAGAAGGCACTAGGATTTTACCTGATCAGAAATATTCCTCCTTATGTGAGATTGTGTTGGTGTTTTGTTTATTTAATTATTAAAAAAAAAAAAAAAGACCTTGAGTGCCCACGTTTACTACCGGGGAGGAAAGCAAACCCAGCACTCTAGGAAACAAACTGAAAATTCAGGACCCCTCTTTAGGGGACTTTACCGAGAAAAAACATTTTTTTCAAGGCCAAAGTAGCACATCTTCGCTAACTTGACTTGTGCCTTCAGCTTTTTCTCCTCTTCCTTATAATGCAAGGAAATCTTGAAGTCTGCAAAGTGAAGTTAACTCCCACTCTTTGGGGTTTTTTTAAGGGTTTTTCTGTGCTTTTTTTTTTTTCTCCAATTAACCTATACTGGTTTTTTTCAAGGTCACTTTTTCTCTTGTTCAGAAAACTGCTTTAAAAAAATAATTGTTTTATTCTCTGTGTTCTTGCATATCTGGAACAACATATTTTTTCTTAACTAAGCTAAACCCCCCTGTTTTTATTGCATCTTTTTTTCTTTAATGCTGTTCCCTGTGCCTGCATTGTGTATAGGATTGTAGAAACTACTGCCACATTAGAATTCTGAAGCTGCAAAAACTGCCGTTCATGATATATACTAAAACCTTACTTCTTTGAAAAATCACTTACTCTTGGAAATCAGATTATATAACTCCATCTGCCCTGGTAAGAATTAGGTTAACATGTATTTTCCCTACTGGCTGGCTAGAAGGTTTTTTTGTTTCTTCCTTCCTTTCTTTTTTTTTCCCTTTCAAATATCTACATCTTAGGTTATTGGCTTGATTATTTGTAAAGTTAAACATCGAACTAGAGAGCACAGTGAGATACTGAGAATTAAGATCCTAGCTGAGGTAAGGGGACTGCACACAAAGCTGATGACATGTAAGTCCAGGATCTGCGTGACCTGCGATTTTGAGGTACAATAATACACAGCCAACAGCAGATTATGATGTCCGGATACTAGCAGCTTTCAGAGTGCAGATGGTGATGCTGTCAGAAAATATCAGCCTTCGGTCTGTAAATGTCTGTCACATTTCATTAGGGCACACAGATGCCTCTCTTTCCTCCACTGCTGAGGCTCGACAGCAGATAACAAATGAGTTTTGCTGGTAATGGCCCTGTTCCTTATTATTATTTCACCCAAGCATCCATATCTACAGAAGCAAAAAAATGCTTCCACATAGGAATTTTCATGTTGTTGGTGACAAAAAATGTGTCATTGCTCAGGGAGATGCCAAACGCTCTGCAAAAGGCCAAAGAAACCCAATTTCCTCTCAGTATGCCTCTCTAGAGGAACAATCCATCAGCCTGAGGCTTCAATGTATGTTTGCAGACACCTAAAGGAGACAAACAACTCCTCTTTGTTTTGTGACTGTCACTTCGGGTATTAGCTAGTACTGTGTTTCTCCTGCTATCATTTTGCCTCCACCTTGGACTAAGACTCCAACAGTGCAGATACATGGAGAGCAACAGGTGGTATAAAGGGCTGTGATGAAGCCACTGTTTTGCCCTAGCAGCACAAGAGCACAGCTAAAAGATCTGCTCCCTCTCTAGTCTTTCTGGCATGCAGCAATGGAGCAACAGCTTAAGCAATGGGGTTGAGGGATCTTGGCCCCTTCTGTTATATGGCCTTCCTTATCAAAGTATAGGAGGACATCAGCAGACCAGAAGGAACTGAGAAAGGTACAGGAAAAAAGGCCATAGATGGACACTGAAAACCCTTGAAAACATCAGTCTGAACTCTGAGGGGACACTTGATCTACAGGGCTGCTCTGAGGAAGCAATTTTCCTACAGATTTTTCCTATAAATATTTATGTCTTTATAACAGAAATCGTGGTATGTTTTGGGTGAGATGAAGCAGCAGCCTCTTTTGAGAAAATAAATTATTTGCCAACAGAAACTTGCCCAGACCATAAGAGATCCTCACTGCTCAGTCTTTTTTGCCTGCTTTATGTAAGCTATATGCATGGAAAAAT